CAAGAGTTTCAACAAGCATTCTTAACTTGAATAAATGATCCTCGTAAACATGCTCATTTACGCATTTACTGACTATTCTTTCATTTGACGAGGTGACAACAAACAAATCCAGTGTCCCCTGGGTATCGACATGCCAGCTGCAGGTGTAGTGACCGATACTTCTGTAATCAGTAAATAAAAATGTAATTTGTAAAAGTCATTTTTAACTGCAGGGCAGAGTAATAAAATGGACAATTGCTTCCAAGTAACAACAAATGTGATAATTTGGTGAAAAAAAAAAGGTTTGGATAACAACTGACTGATTGCCCAAAACTCATCTGCTCTAGTCTGCAGCACTCATAGAATTATATTCGTAGCTGAAAAAAGATGATGAATGCAACATTTTGTCCTCAATCACTCGTACAATCAATTTAGAACAAAATTGTTCATACAAATGGTTCTTGCATGAGGCCCAATGATCCAAAACAAACATCCCAGGAGATTTTGGAGTAGATGGAGTATTCCTACTGAACCTTCTGAATGCTGTACCTCAGATGTACATAACATTTTTAGAGAACCCATAACTCCCTTCTGAACAACAGAACTTGAGTTTTTTTAGGGCCGTTTCTAAATATGTGTACTTGTGGGTTCTCGTGTGCTCGCGAAACGTCATCAGCACCTGCACTGCTCCAATTCACCAGAACACATGACCGAGAATGGACAAAGTCTCCGGATGTTGTTCTCGCCCTCCCTCTTTACCAAACATGCATCAGAGCAGACTCATACGTGCTCCAGACTGAAGGCGGTCCCGGCATGCACTGCGGCGGCAGCAGCAGCCTCCATGAACTCAGAGTATTAAGTTTAAAGTTCTCTTTTCTGTTGCTGTTCTTCTATAAAAGTATGTTTTAAGAATATTTAAGGCGAGGACATTACATATTATATATCTTCACTATATGGCCCATTTACTGTTTTGGTGTGTAATTTAAAATAAAAGAAATAAATAAATTCCGTCTGCAACAGCCCTCTTGGCATAGTCGTGTGTGTGAAGTTCTTCTACCTCTGAAGGAATTTTTTGGGGTTTTATTTGGTAGAAATTTAAGGATTGGTGTTAATTTGACTGTTAATAATTATCCCCCCTCTAAATTTAAAAAAATAATGATTTATTATCTAGAGACTATTAACAACAGTAGGTGAGGTGCAGCTCCAGACCAGCTTTTAATATTGTGATGTCACGGGTACGCTTCTGTTCCAAATGACCCAGATTTATTCTGCATGCTCCCCTGGTCCATACTTTCCTATTTTCTTGTAAATAACATAATTGGCAAGGATACGAGTCCATACACGCGTTCTTGTGAATTGAGAAACTGCCCCAGTATTTGCATAAAATGACTTCATAAGGCACCTGTATGGACATTTTTAAGCATTACTGACCAAAGGTTGTAATATATTAGCCTGATAAACCAGACTTAATGCAAGATTAAAGGTGTAATTTAGTCTGGCCCCGATGAATGAGACATCGGAAGATTGTTGATGAGAACAACCGTTGTCTTTCAAACCATGTCTGTGTCTATTGGCCAATCCTCTGACCAATGAGCGCAACTGACTGTGACGTCGTAAGCGCAACAGAAAGCTAGTAAGGTAGTGTAAACAGCTTGTCAGTAAAACAGCGAATACGTCCTTCTTAAAATAAATTAGCGTAGAGCCTCTTCCTGCTCATGTTTCAACGAAAACCCCCAAGTCTAATCCTTCCAAAACGGATTCCAGAGCTGAGTCAAACGAGAACTGTTCAATAATTGTTGCCATCTTCCTTGTGCTTTCTCCAGCGTCGTGCAGCTTTGTCATCCCGCCCACTTTGCATCCAGAAATTCATAACGCATCTCTGTGTTGTGATTGGCCCGCCAGTTCTAGGGCCTGGGGGCGTTGATCGAGGCTAGACCACTAGCAGGCAAAAATGATTTTGGCCGCTGGTGGATGGGGCTAGTTTACTAGGCTAGTAATATATTAAAATCTAGATATTTTCATTTTTTAGCTGAAGTTGTGTAAAGAAAAAGCCTGACAGTAAAAGGTTGAAAATGGCTGACAATCAATGGGAGTCATCACATGGTCCTCAATACATTTAGCAAGATGAGAAGGTGTCTGTGTGGTTTTATCTACATAATATGAACTAAATATTTTCCTTCTTTAAACAGGCCTGCTTCAAGCGGCTGTCCTGGAGGGGCAGTGATGAGAAAGTTGGACCCAAATGGAAAACTCTGTCGGTCAAACCTCACACGTCGAGCATCACACCTCTCCAACACACTGGGAGGGTGGGCCAACACAGCTGTGAACACTATTCGGAAACCAAACTGAACTACATGAATGTGTGCTAAATATGGGACCTTTCTGTGGCCATGTTTTAAACCTATTATTGTGGCGTCACTGTAACATGTACTGAGCTTTTTTTATACATATAGCTGCTGCTTCGTTGTGTTCTCTGTATGTAGATTTATGTTTACTTGTCTTGAATTCGATTGGTGGGGTTTGAACATCCCCATAACAACCAAAACTGTTTCTGATGTGTGTGTCCACTGTTCCTGGTGAAACTATGTATTTTATGTGCTATTTTTCAAATAGGTCAAAGACATGATGCACTATATTCAGATTTTAGCTGCAATACTAACACTAAGTGTACTGAGAGGTCAGGGGGTTTGTCCTTTATATGTTAAATTCCTAACACTTTTACATTTTTTTAATAAACTAAACTTTATATTGTACTTTTTTTATATATAATAGGGGTCCTTTTTTATACAGCCTGGGTAGTATTTAGATGGGCACTTTCTAGTAGAGGTAGTTGCTTGCAATGGTCTGTGAATGATTCATGCACCAATAGAGTACACATAAATCATCAGATAATGTGATGGGGAGGAAGAGTTAAAGGCTCATTACCAGATGACGGCAGTGATGATGATGTTATGAAGAAAAATCCTGCAAGTTATTAGTGTAGTGAGGGGCACAAATGAAGCAAAACCTTTTTTTTTTTTCCTTTGCTGTGCTTCCTTTTTCTTTTCTTTTTTTTTCTCCTAGGAGAAAAAGAACGAGAAGCTGTTTCTAAATGGGGAAAGGGATTACAAAATAAAAAATGCAAGTCAACAATATGTCTTTTTGTTTCCAGTTATATTGAACTTCTGCTGAAGCCTTCAGCAATGTTTGTAAATTATTTAAATGTAACTGGTATTATTTGAAGCTGGTAAACTGGTTATTTCCAAAGAAGGAACACCCAAACAGAAGCCTAGCTGTGATTTTTAACCAAAATACGTAAATCCAGCTCTCGGCTAGATTCAATTCAGTTTATTTCTATAGCGCCAATTCACAACACATGTCATCTCAAGTCACTTTACAGTTCACCAGATCAGACAGTCAAATTGATTCAAAGTTTTCTAAGCAAAACCAGTTGATTGCATTGACTCAAATGCAATCCCTCACATTAAGCATGCTTGTAGCGACAGTGGAGAGGAAAAACTCCCTTTTAACAGGAAGAAACCTCCAGTAAAACCAGGCTCAGTGTGAGCGGCCATCTGCCGAGGCAGACTGGGGTTCAAGGAGATAGAAGCAGAGATACAAAAAACAGCTGTACACTTGGACCTCATAAAGAAACATACTTCTGATAATCCAGGATGTCCAGGTATTGGACAGAGAAGGGGGGGAGCTTCAACTCCCAAGCAGCTACAACTTGCTCTTGGAACTTATTCGAAAGAAGGTAAATGAGCGGTCTCATGATCCATATGGCCAAAGACTAAACTTATTCGAAAAAAAACATGCTTCAGCGACACAGGAAATATATAGTTGGGTCATTGATTTGGCTTTGTACTTGGGAGAATGGGCCTTCAGGTCCTTGAATACATCAGTGCTTCAAAAACAGGTTGCTCTGGTACGAATTACCAAAATCGACAGACTCCGGGATTTGTGTTGAAGCGTTTACAAAAAAAAGCAAAAGTCAGGTTGTTTAAAATGTAAGCTTGTTTTTTGACAGCTTTCAGGTGCCAAGGTCGTAGTTAGTACATCAGAGATGAATCTTTGATTTTGAGCCTCTGTTCTCTTTGCTTTTACAAGGAATCAAGTTCAAACATTTTTTCTAAGGAACAAAGGGATTTTGTTTGGTTGTGTGATATGAAAAAAAAAAGAAAAGAAAGACTGTTAACTCAGTTATTAGCAACTTTCTAGAAATACACCTTTCTCCGGTTAGATAGTTCAAGCCCACATTAGATGTTCAATCAATTGGAGATGTTAATAAACCCTTCCATTTGGCCATCTAGTCTGCAGCTCTTCCAGAGTCACTGTTTTAGATGTATCTGTTGCCAGTGCTTTCTTTACCCAGCCTCCCAACTTCAGGAGAAAATACATGCATTTGTGTTGTACAGCGCTGGTTTTTATATGATGGAATTAACATAGCTCTGATGTTGAACTTTTGGTATTTTTTATTTTAACTTTCCCCCTAGCCAACTTTCTCCCTGGCTGGTTTTATGTGTTCTTTGTCTTTATGGTACTTTTTGTTAACATATTTTCTAAACAATCCACAATTGAAAAAGACTAAAACTGTGTGAATACTTTTTTGGAGCAGAGTTATGGACAATGTTCTGATTTGTCACCAGAAAACCACAAATCCAAAAACAAAGGTTGATAGTCCTAGTGGACTTGTGGGAGTGTTGATAATTTTTCTTTTTTTTTTTATTCAATAATTGTAAATTCTATGTATTTAGGGCAATAAATTGCTAAGTATAAAAAAGTCCAAAAATAATAGAGAAAAAACAAATGCGTAGCTATCTCAACAGTAGTTAGAATCAGATATTAAAGTTGACACAATAGTGCCCTCATGTGGTGTATCCTGGTAATACCAGTGGAAAGAATAACCGCTCTTTTTGTCCCACGATGGTACCCGTTAGGTTCCAGTTGCCCCGCCTCCGCCTCTCCGGCTTTGTACCCAGAGCTGAACACACGCTGCGGATAACTTCTCCAGGATACCGGGGCTGCACAACGTTTAAAAAATGGCTCTCCACGTCCCCAAACCTCCTGGCTTTTCCCAGATGTTAAAGGATGGCGCGAAGGTCAGATCAAATCGCCACATAAAGTGATGGGAGGAACTGAAAAGAGGGTGACATGTTAGCATGCTAGCTAGAGTTAGCCATGAGTTAGCGTGTTCATTCAGAGTCATGTGGGAGACTTCTAGAAAGAGGCAGGCCGCTAGTGGTCCCACCGTCAAAATAGCACTGAAATCCACCTCTTTACGTCATTATTTACTGGTTCCTGACCAACATGTATGCAAATGTCTACGCTTTTGTGTTAATGTAGCAGTAATAACTGAATTAGAAGCTGCAGTCACACCCAGTTAGCATTCTGTTAGCTGTCACCGCTGAGCCTGATGCTAGTAACTTTCAATGTCCGTTACATCCTGTTATCTGCTCATTTCTCCTCGTCTTTAGTTTATAAATAAAGACGTTATGTTATTGGCAAGCTGTTTCAAACCACAGAGTGGATAATTTCTTACTGATTAGTCGTAGTAAATAGTGAAATTAGTATCTTTATCGTTTTCCATCCTCGAGGAAAACAAAAGTGCCTATGTCGAATAATTTTCGGGGTTTTTTAATGATTAAAAAATATTTTGAACCAAACAACTTTCTTTATTGATATTTTATTTAGTCCTATCATTTTCCACATCACAGCCAAATAAAAAATTCGAATTCACCTTTTTTTCCCAATAGAGGCTTTTAAATGGTGCTGAAAAAATATAATTTGGATTAATCTACTATTGAAAAAAACAATTTAGTAATCAATTAATCGTTAACATGAGTATAAAGACTAAGATACAAAATCGTTATCATCTGTCTATATGCCTATGCAGTACTCCTCAAGTGGAAAAGTTTTTGTTTACCCTGGTTTACCTTTGTAAAAAATAATCTTTAACTTTTGGCCATCAAATTATTAATGGCTTAATCAACTAAAATTAGTGACCAATTAATCAATTTGCAAGATAATTGTTAGTTGCAGCCCTAGTTTTAATTTTAAATAAAATTTTTGATTCTTACATTTTTGTGGTTTAGATGATTAACAAAACACCACAATTCTATTGACCCCAGATCTAAAACTATACTTGGAAAAAAATCTGTATTTGGTAGAACTCTATGACCTGTCAGTCTTAACGCTTTAAAATTTGAAGGGAAGTTCCAACAAACGAGCAAAACAACCTTTTTATTAAGCTGCTTATTCCTAGGCCAGATTCATATGTTTTTTTTTAATGATCTGTCAAACATGCCAATAATAAAACCCATCTGGTTAAAGTGTGTCACATTTTTTTGGGTAAAATGGTAAATAGCCATTTTGAAATTTACCATATCAAATGTTTTTTGGAAGAAAACAATAGCAGAAACCTCTTTGTAGATGTTAAAGTAAATATATTTTTATTCATAATTTTAAAGTTTCCACTTCATTGTAAAGGGCACACTTTAAACAAAATGTTTTTTTGTTTTGTTTTTTTACCACTACAGCACTTTTCAGGACTTGAGGAGGCAGTCTTTCGTAACATCAGAGCATGTAAAGAACTTTCTCAGACCACGATGACTGCATATGGACCCAATGGTACGCATTTTCCTTTAACAAGATAATTCAATGAATGAGATTAACAATTCAGTTTTAACATTCAGTAAAAAGCATTGATTGAACTGACAATCCGATGTGTTTCAGGTATGAATAAAATGGTCATCAACCACCTGGAGAAGTTGTTTGTCACCAATGATGCAGCGACAATCCTCAGAGAGCTTGAGGTGAAGAATCTTTTCTAAACATCGTCTTCTATGTGCTGAAAATCAATTATTTTTAAATGTGGAAACATATTTGTCTCTTTCTTTTACAGGTGCAACACCCAGCAGCCAAAATGATAGTGATGGCGTCGCACATGCAGGAGCAGGAAGTCGGAGACGGCACCAACTTTGTGCTGGTCTTCGCTGGGGCTCTGCTGGAGCTGGCTGAAGAGCTGCTGAGGATGGGCCTGTCTGTGTCAGAGGTGATCACATGTAGCTGTTAAACATTTGGGGATCATGTGTTGGCATATCATCAAGAGGCTCTAAGAAACCTAAAGCTAATAATTAATGGAAATATATTTGCTTTAACTTACAGATATATGAAATTATCGGACTAAAGATTTCTTAAAAACAAATTTCATTTATGAATATTGAAGAAAATTTCTGCTGTTGTAAGTTTGTATAAAATCAATGCAGCAGAATCTGTCTTAATAAGAATTTGAGTAACTTTTCATTCATTATTTTCTACTTGGTTCTTAGAGAACGTGTCTCTGTGTCACAAAGCCTCTACTTTACTTTATAGTGTTTGTGAAATCCTTTAAAATCCTTTTGAATTTCCAAGAAAAGGGACATTTATACCCCTGTAAAATTGAAAAGCATTGAGCTGTAACTACTGATATGAACAATCTGATCCCTTCATGAAGTGAAACATTTTTAAAAAAGCTTTAGATATAATAATTTAGTATGATTATTAAAGTTTACGCAATTGTGCCACAAATTATATTGTATGAACCTTTTTCTTTTAATATGGGATTTTCAGTGAGAGATGATGATATGGTAATAAAAGTTAGATTTTTGAATTTATTTCCTTCTTCTCTTAGTTTAGATATGAATAAATGCGGCCATCTTTGTATATTTCCCCCAAAAAAGCACATGGATCTCTCCTCCCACCTAATCACCACACCTTTCCCTCTGATTCAGGTCATTGATGGTTATGAAAAAGCGTGTAAAAAAGCCCTGGAGATCCTGCCAGACTGCATATGCTCCTCTGCCAAAAACCTTCATGACGTTCAGGAGGCCACGGCGCTCATCCGTCCAGCAGTCATGAGCAAGCAGTATGGGAACGAAGACTTCCTCGCCAACCTCATTGCCCAGGCCTGTGGTGAGTTAGCAGCTCAGATCAGGGTCGTCTCATCTGTTGAAACTTGTTAAAAACAATGTCTGACCTCTTTCTTTGTTTGATTTTTTTCTTTAGTTTCCATTTTCCCAGAGTCTGGCAGTTTCAATGTGGATAATGTCAGAGTGTGCAAGATCTTGGTGAGCAGTTGTCGTTGTTACATGTTTTTTTCGGTTTGAAGTTATCTACTCCTAAGTATTTGGATGTGTTGTGTGTTCAGGGCTGTGGAGTGACGGCGTCCACAGTGCTTCATGGCATGGTGTTTAAGAAGGAGGCAGAGGGAGACGTCACATCTGTTAAAGACGCCAAGATCGCAGTGTTTTCCTGCCCCTTCGACTGCATGGTGACAGAGACCAAGGTAACACCGACTTTTGGGGACTTGGTCATTCTTATGATGCTGTTTTCTTTTTTCACTGTCTTTGTGTTTCCTTTTGTCCAAATGCATTTTTCCTCTATCTTTTATCTATCTTTTTATCTTTTTTTTTTTGTTATCTTTTTATTTTATTTTTTTGTCCAATTTTCTGAGTGGCCTAAATACAGTCTAATGCGGCACCGGTCAAAATTAACTTACTTTCCTCCTTTTCTTGCACAAATTTAACTTGTAAGGAGGTTCTTTCTTATGTCTTCTTTTTTTTAACTACATTCCCGAAAAACATCAAAGGAAAGGTATTTAGTTCTTGGTTAATTTGATCTGCATAAACAATTTATAACCTTACTTTATTAAAACTGAGATAATATAAACCACATTTTCGGGACAGTTTTCTCTGAAATCGCATCAATAAACAAAGTAAATGAAGCTTTAACTTTTTTAGTAACATGCCAACCAGCTTAACCTTTACCATCCCTTAGCTGCAGCAGCAGCAATAACAGCTTATAAATTGAAAAATCTAATAAATATGTGCTTAAAGTACATAGAAATTTTTTTTTTCAGTTGTGTCCATAAACCTAACCTATCCTTTATTTTAAATGGTTATTTAAAAAAATCAAATGTCTCAAGAAATGTGTCTAAATTCAGCATTAAATCCTATTTTAAATGAATGCAGCAGGTCCAATGAACGTCTGAGTAGAATTCTTCATAAGTGAATTGTTTAACTGTCGTGGTTTTGACGCACCTGATGCAACCGATCCAGAGCAGCGCGTTTAAGAAAGAATACCTCAAATACCTGGACTATTTGTTAAGTTGTAAGTAGCAGACTGTGCATGTATGAGATGTAAGGAATGGGAGGCGGGGCTAGATCTGGGTTTTCCTTCTTCATGGAGTTGAATGATGAGCGCGGGAGCGCATGGGGTAAACTGTTAATGGCGACCATTAAAGTGTGGATATTAACGTCAGCAGTGTGATTATTGAGCTAACACTATTGACACAAACATTTCACCACATGTTAGAAAGCAGTCTAAGAGAAGGGACCATTGTGTTGGACTGACAAGGAAACTAAACCAAAAATCCTCCTGTGGAAACAGTTTGAAGCAGAGTTCACAAGTTTAAAGTTGAATGAACGATTTCCACACCACCTGGACATGAAACCAACAGGATTTCTGAGGAGGAAGTGTTCAAAGAAAAACATCTGTTTCAAGAATGGGTGGCAGCAGCTACTGAGGTTTCAGTGTATGCAGAAAGAAGAATTCTACATGCTGAAGGGCTCCAAGCCTGAGCTGTTGACCCCAAAACACAAGAAATTGTAGTGGCACCAGTTTGCTCGCGACTTTGTAAAACAGACAGAAAGGTGTTTGAGTTTTGTTTTTTGTCGCGATGACTAGAAACTGAAGGGTTTTGAATCTATGGATCAGCAGTATATAGGCCTGGGTGATAAACCGGATGTTTACCGTTACCGTCAATCACTATGATAACCAGCGACAATTTTCCCATATCGGTAAAAGAAATAAACCTAATTCTGCCATTTTGCCTGTGTGCGCTGGTGGCTGGTACTTCCTTGCCCTTTAAGACACGGCAGCATTAGTCGTGACTCATTGATCCAGTCAGAAGCGTAAACAAAGAGAATGGCGGATGAGCTCTGTGAAGAAGCGTCTAACACAGCCGTAAACGAAATTCCATCAGTTAATTCTGTGGAGCCGAGCGAGTGCAGAGATTAATTTGAGCGCACCGAGAAGAAGTCAGAGCGCATTGTTATAGTTTAGCGCGCGGCAGACATGTTTTAAGTGAGGGTATGAGAACTTAAACGATGCACATTGTTCTCACTGAACACTCAGTTCGGTGGCACTAAAATGATGCCATAGATTAAGCAGAACACTAAATGCAAAGTTTGTCTGCAAACTGTCTACCAAACTGTGACTACCAAAAGTAACATATCCAACCTCCACCACCTGCAGCACAGCCACGCTGTTTAGTTCAAAGATGTGCAAAAGGCTACGTTACCTTTGGGCAAAAATGTTTGCAAGAGAAGTAACATTCTCCTGTTCAATGAGACTTTGGTGAATGTTTAAACCTGAAAAGGTACAAGACTTTAATATGTAAAATTTAATTGAAAGTAATATGTAACGTGATTTATTCCATAAATAAATTCAAAATAGATCAGTTGCATTTTCTGCACATGCCTTTATTTCTGATAAAGGATACAGATTTCAGCTCACATGGCAAGCTGACTACAGCACACTAAACCAGGAAGAGAAAACTCAGCTGTTTACAATGTTTTTAAAGCCTGTTTGTGACGTCGCAGATTAACAGCCATTTCTTTCCAAGGGTTTTTTCTTATTAATTAACGGCTCAATCAAAGGGTGTTTTTCTAGATACAGTTATACATTCGCCAACCCTCACCAGTGGGAGCTGCTCTGCGCTCGCTGTGCTTTTTTGCGCAGATCAGTCCGCAAAATAACAAATTTTCCTAGTTGGTGTATTGAGGGGCGTGGGAGTAATTTGGCCCCCTGACCTTGCAGACGTGTCGAGCATAAAACAAGCAGTCTGGCTCTAGGATCATTTAGCTTGCTTACCTTTTAGCTTGCTTACCTTTATTATAAAACAGTTTTCTGTTTCCCAATACATTGATGGTTTATTTAAAATATTGTTAGTTTCTTATAATTGGCAACCAAGGAGAATACATCATCTTGCATTACCTGAGCAAGAGTTGGTGAAGAACAAGTTTCAAGGAGTTTCTTCGGTTTCTGTCCACATATCTTTTTATGTTTTTGTATCAAATGCTCAGATTTTTGTGTGACTGATCTATAAGTATTTGTCAAAGTAGAGCCGTTTTGTGTGTCTTGGCCTAAATCCTACTGAAGTATTTTTCTTTGGTTGCTAACAGCGGGGCTCTTTGTTCCACAGGGCACAGTGTTGATAAAAAACGCACAGGAACTGATGAACTTCAGCAAAGGGGAGGAGGACATGATGGAGGCCCAGGTGAAGGCCATCAAGGAGGCTGGAGCCAACGTGGTGGTAACCGGAGGCAAAGTGGCTGACATGGCTCTGCACTATGCCAACAAGTACAAGCTCATGGTGGTCAGGTAAGAAGAGATTCTAAGTCTTAAAAAAAGTTAGAAAGTACACCCTCTAAGATTTTATGGATCAGTTAATGCCTAAAAGAGATCTTCTCTTTACCATCTTATGATAAAGATGTTATTTATATCATGTTATTTAATAGAAGAAGCAGCATGATGCTGATAACTAAATGCACCAACTTATCAGGAGCAGGTGGGAACAGCTTTACCATTGTTGGAGGAGTGATCTTTAAAAACACCACATCAGCGGAGAGCCTGTTGTTGGTGTTGAATCTGAGAGTTGAAAGTTTATCACTTTATCTTGAAAATGCTGTTTATTGGTAGAAACACCGAGGTGCTGCTATGGAACATGAAACATATACCAGCTGTCACGGGTTCGATTCCCGGACTTGCTCACCTTTGCTGAATGTCTCTTCCCTCTCTTGTAAACAACTTTCCAGTCTACATTAAAAACAAAAAGCATGAAAAATTAACAAAATAAAGGCCACTAGAGCCTAAAAATAATCTTAAAAAGGGCCGCATCAACCTCCTGAGGAGGCTGTGATCCTTTGGAGTGAGCAGGCTACTGCCTTAAACCTTCTTTGACTCTGTGGTGTCATCAGCCCTCCTCTACGCTGTGGTCTGCTGGGCCCCTGGCAACACAGAGCGGGACAGGAAGAGACTGAACAATCTAGTGAGAAAGGCCACTTCTGTCCTAGGCTGCACTCTGGACTCGGTGACGGACGTGGCTGAGAGGAGGGTGCTTTCCAAGCTTACATCCATCTTGGACAACACCTTCCACCCTCCGCACCAGACCGTAGAGGAGCTGAGCAGCTCCAGCTCCTTTAGTGAAAGAATTTAACACCCTGTTTGTAAAAAGGAGTGCTACTGCAGGTCATTCATCCCTGCTGCAACCAGACTCTACAATGCGTCACAATGGCAATAACTTGTGCAATGTATAATGTGCAATTACTATTTGATACCCGGTTTCTCTGTATTTGACACCCAGTGCAATAACTATATATAAAAATATAAATATCCATCTATATAAATACTCATTTAAACATCCTATGCAATAACCTTGTAAAATGATGCTACAAAAAAGCTGTCATATGTGGACGCACTGTATATATCCATTCACCTTTATCTTCCTTTGGCACATTCTTCTTCTTTGACCATTTGGGTTCATGTAACAAGTAAATTTCTCCACTGTGAGATCAATAAAGTCAATCAATTAAAAAAGGAGCTTAGGATAGTCACACTGGTTGGTTTGATTTCTCTAAAACCCCTTTTACACAGACAGCGTTATCTGCTTATAGTCAGCCTCCACAATCATGAAGCTTCAGACATTCATAACAATGCTAGCTTCCCTATAGTCCTATATGATTTTCAGTGATGATTTTGCTTAGCAGTGTAATGAACCTCAACGTCAGTCGTTGCTTCCTGCGTCTGTAAGCCCTGATTAGACTATCGTTTGTTGTATCTACGTCCCAAAAGCAGACTGAAGTAAATTCACCAATGATAATAAGATATAACTTCCTGAATGTTACAGTCACCACCGGTGGCGGTTCTAGACCAGGGGGGCCAGGAGGGGGCCAGCGTGTTTTCATGGGGGCACAAAAAAGCATGAAATAATAAAGCAGGCCAAGGGATTCAAATACATTAAGATTGCTGCATGAAGTCAAATTTCTAATCAATTAGGTTTCATTAAAATTCTAAATGTCTTAGTAGGTCAATATACATTCAGAATTTAGGAATTTTACTCTTTTTTTTTAACTTAATTTAAGTTGAAATTACAGTTTTCTATAAAATCTGAATTTAGATTTTAAGAAAAACTGTTAAAATTAGCTGTATTTTTTTTTACATTTGTTTTGGAAAAAAAACATTTAGCAGATGAAAACTGGGATCCTATCCTAATACCACTTATGATATGTTTTTAGACAGTTAATAAAACAGAATTTGTAAAGAAAAAAAAAATAGATCCAAAGGATCTATCAGTAACCATGTCTGTTTCAGCGCAGATCATCATTAGAATTTCTTTAAGTATTATGTCTTCAGTACAGGGGCCATAACAGGGGCCAGGACTTGATCTGCAGGGGCCCTGGCCCCCCTTGGCCCCTGTCTAGAACCGCCCATGGTCACCACCATGTCGGTTTCCTTAGTACCGTATATCGCCACTAGGAGGTGAGGAACCGTGCTAGCTTGGTGTGTAAATGGTCATGAGGAACCAAGCTCAGCACGGTTCGGTTTTCAGATGGTGGTTTAAATGGGATATCTGTCTAGACAGGTAGGTCCAGACTTCCCATCCCTAGAAACCTTCTCCAGCTCCTCTTTGACATAATTATTCCAAAATAAAAAGAATAAATCAGCCAGACTTTAGTTGCCATCAAATCACAAAAATCTCTGGAACAAAGAGGAATTAATGAAATGTGTCATATTTACTGAAAACCAAAAGTAACGTAACGTATTGATATAAACTTATAAGCAAATAGGTGGAGCGTTGCTCATCTGGGCGTGTCTTTCAGTTAAGTCGACCAAGTCTATTCGTATTCCCAAAATATTTCATTCTCAAACAAGGTCCTCAATGGTAAAATGATCCCAACAGAATGGGTGAAAGGAAAGATGTTTAATTTCTTGTTCATCAAACATTTAAAAAAAGAACTTATACGATCCTTTTTACCATGACTAAAATTTCATGTTTTAAGCACAATATTTTTTTCTTCAGGCTGAACTCCAAGTGGGACCTCAGAAGGTTATGCAAGACGGTGGGGGCTGTAGCTCTGCCCAAAATGGTTGGTTGACTGCTGTTTTACCATAAACAGATTGTGGAATTGTATCTAAACCAACCTGAAGCTGATGTATGATGTGTTCCGCTCTTAGACAGCGCCAACTCCTGATGAGATGGGTCACTGTGACAACGTTTATCTAACAGAGGTGGGAGACACACAGGTGGTGGTCTTCAAACATGGTGGGTCTCTTTTTGCGTTATTTACCGTCTTACACCAGATTTCTCGTTCAAGAGACTTCAATACTTAACCAATGATTTGGTGATGCTTTTGAACAGAGAAAGAAGATGGCGCCATCTCAACAGTGGTCATCAGAGGCTCCACTGACAACCTGATGGATGATATTGAGAGGGCTGTGGATGATGGTGTCAACACCTTCAAGGTTCTGGTCAGGGTATGTTACATGTGGGATGCCATTTGTAGAAGATAGACTGCTGAGTTTGCACAGCTGCTGCAGCCTCTTTTTCCTCCATCTCCAGGACAAACGGCTGGTACCTGGAGCAGGAGCCACAGAGATTGAATTGGCCAAGCAGATCACTTCATTTGGAGAGGTAACAATATTACATTTTTGCTCGTTTATGTTCAGATTTCCACACCTTCCCAACCAGATAACCCGTCTTCCTCTTTCTTTCTTTAGTCCTGCCCTGGGTTGGAGCAGTACGCCATCAAGAAGTTTGCTGAAGCCTTTGAGGCGCTGCCACGGGCCCTCGCTAAGAACTCTGGCGTGAAGGGGAACGAGCTCCTCTCTAAGTTGTATTCCGCACATCACGAGGGAAACAAAAACATCGGCTTTGACATTGAGGTCAGGAGCTGCAGAAAAATGTATTTTCCATGTTAAAAACATAGCGTTTGAAGTGGCTGATGAGGCTGTACTCTCTGTAGGGAGAAGGGCCGGCTGTGAAGGACATGATTGAGGTTGGCATTCTGGACCCCTATCTGGTGAAGCACTGGGCCATCAGGCTAGCCACCAATGCTGCCATAACAGTGCTGAGAGTGGATCAGGTCTGTATAAAACAATTCACACCAGACATTAATGATGTAAGACTTACTACAGATGATATGTTACATTTTCCTTTTCATGAGAATAGTCTCCATCTGTAGTAATAGCCTAATTTTAAAAACACTTCACTTATTTTTCCATAGCAGATTAATGAAGAAAGTCCATTTAGGTGATTTTAGTATGTGTGCATATGTATGCAATCCAGATCATCATGGCTAAGGCTGCAGGTGGACCCAAAGCTCCCAAGCAGAGAGGCCACTGGGACAAAGATGGTTGGGATGATGAGCCTGATCATTTTGAAACCAACCATTAGAGGGCATACTTGCACATACAAATCCTTCTGTCAGTAGGTCTCCGAATGTGTGTTTCCTTACAAGTCGAGAACAAACCAATGTCGGAACGATGACTCACTCACAGAGCACTGATGTTGGGCGTTTGGACTGTCGATACTAATATTGAATTTAATTTTAGCACGTTTAGTATAAGTTCATATTTTTCCAAGTGTGGCTCTAACAACACTGAGAACTTTCACAAAAAGGCGAATGGTGTGATCGCATGCTGCATGGATTTTATAGTGTTGTAGGGCCTGTGAATGCTGAAAATGTGTCCCTTTTGGTACCATTCAAAAACCTTTCAGTTTGTTAATTTGAGATTTTGGGTAAAAATGTGCTGAAATAACTATTATAGGAATAATTGGCCACATTCAAATCTACCTTTGTTGTGTTGTGTGATAATGTTACAATGATATTCCTCAGACCTCCCTTCATTTTATTGCTATCCTCAAGGCATAAAAGCAGCTTCATGGACCTCAGCATCTTGTCAAAGGGAAATAATATTACTAAGTGTCCTTATTTGGTTTTCAGATTATCATGGCCAAACCAGCAGGAGGACCCAGAGCTCCCCAGGGCAACAAGGACTTTGATGATGATGACTGAACCTAAAGCTTCCCATCCGATATTCCTGTTGAATTCAAAACCTTTTCTACTTGTTTATTTAATGCTCAACTGTTTGGTTTATTTTGTGGACAACCTCTGGTTGCATTGATCAACAACAAATATGGAAGAAGAAAGTACAGATGGCTCTGTTTGCATTCTATGTTCTTAGGTCCCAAATAAAAGGCGCTTGTGCTGTAAACTGCTGGTTTGGATTCTATTCATTTATTCCTGTTTAAATGGAAATCAGAGTAATTTATAAATTCATACTGTGAATACCCTAGATGATATATGTATTAACGAAATATTTAAATAGTATTTTTATGTAACTCTTTATTACCACAATCTTTTGTGTTTATATTCGACCAACACAAAGCAGACGACTGCATAGAGAAGGGAAAATATTTCCACAACATTATGCATCCACTGCTATGTATCAGTGAGAGTCTATTGGGTTTGATGCAACAAACGGTGATCTGGTTTCACCAGAGTTTATGTAACTATCGAAGTTGCAAACAAAATGGGTATTTTTCTTTAATGCTACCCAGACGTTTTGCCTTTTGGATCCCGAGACAGTTTTCCAAACTGTTTTTTTTTTTTAAAGGATGTTTTTTTTTTTCTTGTTATCGACTTTGACAAAACTTTTGTATACACATAGTGTACACAAAACAAAATTTCAATACATACAGCTTTTTGACAGTGAATGAGCAGCTTAGCATTGGAATGAACATTTCTATTTATAAAGTGCAGCAGTGATCAAAATGTAAACAGTGTAGGAGAGAAATGGTGCAAAAGGTATTGATGTGGATAGTTCAGAGCAGTGCAAAAAATAGATATAGTACAAACTGTAGTAGAAGATAAGGGGTTTGCAAACTTTCATATCCGAAGTGCCATTTTGTCCTAAGTCCAGCTTAAAAAAAAAAACTAAAGCTGCAAAACATGATATGACTTTTTAATCAAACAACACCTATTATTATTGTTAAATATATCATAGAAAATCTCCTGCCATCTTAAAGAACCAACATTTAATTTGTATTTTTAGCTTTTAAAATATGAAAAAAAATAAAAAGATTCATAGTCATTTAATCATTCAGGCATGATTTTTTTTTTTTTTTCTTTACGGTATTTGATTAAAAATATATTTCCAAACTAAATAAAAAAAATACTTTACATATTTTTCATTATATTGATATTTTGTTGTGCAAATTCAGTTCAAATATTGTTTGTAAGAACAGTATTTATTATTACAGTAGGCCTACATTAGTTAGTTCTTATATCACATTAGCCATTATTGAGGGCCACTGCAGATGGTCAAAAGAGCCTCCCGTGGCTCAGGAACCACAGGCTGTAGACCCTTGTTATAAGGCCTTGCTGAGGTCAATAAAAACTCAGCGATTATCAATAGATGTTGATACCTCCTCCATTAGTTCTGTGACAGCCATTGAAGCTGACCTATTGGATTTAAAACCACACTGATGTTCATTTAACAGGTCATGCGTGTATACAAAGCTATCAAGCCTGTTAACAAACAACTTTTCCAGTATTTTTGAAAATTTTGAGAGTATCGAGATAGGTCTGTAGTTGGTGAACTGATGCTTATCTCCTCTTTTAAAAAAAAGGTACCGGTATTACTTCGGCAGTTATCATTTTACTCAGGAAGATACTAGTCAGAAAAGACTGATTACAAATATACATGAAGGAAGTGACAATATGTTCAATGATATGTTTCACGAGGACCGTATCTTTGAATCAATTTGACTGTATGATCTGGTTGAACTGTAAAGTGCCTTGAGATGACATGTGGGGTGCGATTGTGCAATGCCCAGGGAGCAGTGTGGGGTTAAGGAGATTGCTTAGGGACCCAGTGTGCAGGCTGTGGGGATCGAACCAGGTACGTGGAAACCTTCTCAGAGCACAAGTGCACTGCTCTCAGTCGCGTTATCTCTGGTGAGCACATGCAGCCCCACTCAGCCCTAACATGTCCCTAGATGGATGGGTATTAAATGGACTGTCCTTGTAGAGCTCTTTATTGAGTCCAACGACCTCAAAGCAATCTATGTTCACACTTCTGGTTTCTGGAAATTAGATCTGTTCAATCAATGCTGGACTGGCCACTGGGCATATAGGGCATTTTATCTTTGGGCTGAACATTAAATATGTAATGTATTAATCTTTATTGAATCATTTATAAATATAACAAAGAATAAACAATGGTTTATACTAAAAAAAGGGTCTTTATCCTTCAAACAACATTCAGAAAAAGGCTCTCGTCTGAATGAAAAGGTTATAGTTATTTGAAACCTCTGAATTGCATGTATATCTGTTGCTACGCATCATTTTTTGAACCCAGTCCCAGGGGTGGCCATGGCCACACGTAACTAATCATTGGCCACCCCTACCATTTTTTCCCCTCTAATACAGATGGTGGCAGCAGTAATACTCTCAAGTGAAGTATTCAAAACATTAAAAATTTTCATATATTAACAATTACTTGACAACAAATACAATGTGGTTAATTGTGCACATCAATATACTAACATTAAAGATTATAATTCATGCTCTTTTCAGAACTAGATTTTGTGTTATAGGGGGTAAAGAGAAAATTATGTCTCTGAAAGTCATCAAGGAGTCTTCAGTGAAATCATAGATAAATAACTATTTTATTAAAAACTTAATAATCAATTTGTGTCTATATAAGTACTTGTACATATACATTTTATGCAGAATAATTGTTGATAAAAGTAGGTAAGTAATGACAAAGGAAGAGATGTTTGCCCCAGAACTCTAACCTGAAAGACTTGTATCCACTATACCTTTTATTTAGAAAGCACGGATGTTAATATATATGCGTCTATTTGTTAGTAAAGGCTGTAGTAAAGTATAGTTTGTCTTTATTTAGAAAATATGGATGTTGCGTTTGTTGATTTTCCTGATGCAAAAGTGTAGATTGACCCTGAGGTTTGCCCTCCCCAGTGTACATTGGTTATTGCCTGGCAACCCTTATAAAAAAAACTTCTGGCTACGCCCCTGCCCAGTCCAGCCCTGTGTGAAATGACCCAGAAGACATAATACAGTTTAATGATACTGAGCAGCAGAGGGAGCCACACGTCTAAAACCGTCGATGTGTGGGCGGATTTGCTCTGACGTTGCCCACATTCGGGATTAACTTGTTTTTATGTCGCAATATCCCTCGTATATATATTTTTTTCCCTTTTGCACAGGAAGGTCAAAGCCGATGATGGTGAGAAATATCGACAGGATCTGTAGACTGTTCATTTGAGAACAATCTTTTCGCTTGAAATGGGACAGAGATGTCCTGTGGCGCCTGGCCAAGGAGCATCAGACACTGATGTCCCGACACCCCGATAATACTAATAGGAGCAATGGGGGCAGACGGAAGTAAAACCAGGAAGGTGAGTGGAATGGAACTCCTTGTTGTTAAGGTGTCACGTTCTACGTGCTTCCCTGTTTCTATGGCGATGAGCTGGTCTCCAGGATACGATTCTTCCACAACCAGAATGGAGATCATTTTAACCTTTCCAAACTAAAGAACTACATGATGGTAAAAAAGGAAAAAAGAAAATAATTCTACCTACCAATTGTTTGTAATTTGAAATATTTAGGCCTACTTCTCTGCTTCTTCATAATTCACTGTGTGGGGTAAATAAATGGCATTAATTGTGGGACTGTATACAAACAGAATTAGTTCTGGTATTCTAAATATGTTACAACTGTAAAATAAAAATAAATTAGGTGCACAATTAAGGAATAACAGTGATTTTCTAAATGTAAATTACACAACATTAACACTCAACAACCACTGAAAAAAATAATGCATCTGCTTTTGGCATTTACTTAATCATATTTAGTTACTTTAACACAATTGTTTTTTCATATCCTGCTAACATAAAACAATTGTGTTTTATAAAAGGTACTAAATATGATTAGGTAAATGCCAAAAACGGTTGCATTATTGTTTTCAGTGCAGTGAAAAATGGTCATCTGTTGTTGTTCAAGTTCAAGCTATTTTATGGTCTTTATAGGGATACTTGTGCATTATGTTTCTCATTGAGATCAATAAAATGTCCAGGTCTTCTGAGAAAGAAAGAGACTAAAATCACTGACCACACACAGGGAACAGTACACCTAATGACCTTAGAACAGGTAAAATTAAAGGAAACACTGTTGAAAATTATAATTTAATATAAATAAAAAATGCAAAGAGGATAAAAATCCTAAAATGATCTCTGATTGTTTACAATTTTGAAAAATATCTCTGCTCCTGTGCTTCTAATTTGTCAGAGGACCGCCGGAGGGGTGGAGGATGAGCACATTACATCAGGATGGCGAGGTCTCCTCTCCAGTGTGGGCCTGTCTATCCCAGCAGGCCTCTGCCGCCTGGCCCCACCAGCCCTCCGTCTGGGCCAGCGCCGGATGCTCCAGGGCAAAGCCCCTGAGGTCCCTGAGCATGTCTTGAGGTTGGCGGGAGTGGGTCTGGGCAGGCCGAGGGGAGAATGGAGCCTTCCAGGGTTCGTTACCATGTTTCTGCCTGAATTCCCCCACAGACCTGTGCCAGGACACGAACACTTTCAGGTAAAAATCACAGTTCAAAAAACAATCTCCTCTACTATAGTCTATAGTCTGCTTTATCTTCCTCACTCGATCTTTACTCTTTCTTCTGGCAAGGTGCTTGGTTACATCGCTAAAGGTTCGTTTGGTCCCATTCTAAAAGTGAGGGACAAGTCCAAACAGAAAACATATGCTGTAAAGGTGAGTCTGCTTTAATCTTTATTTTAAATGGTTTTATTTGGCCTATTAGGATTAGGAAATAAATACTGCTTTTATCGTTTAAGTCAGAAATTCACATTCACCATAGGTTATTATTTATCTAACAACATTAAGCATATTACTGTATATGACTGTAAAGTTATATAGTGTATAAGCAATGCAATTGTACAGTATTAATTCACAAAAACTTTTTTTTTTATCTACTTTTTTATTGTTTAACACCTTGGTTCCTCCTTACACTGTAGTATTTTACCGTTTAACATGTCCATAACCTCTTTTTATTTGAACCTTTTCATGTTTTTTCAAGTTACAAACACACATTTCAACCCCTTTCATTATTTCTTTTATGTAAAAAAAAATCTATATGTCTGTTTGTATTTTGATCCTGTTAGTCTGACATAAAATGAAAAATGC